GTCTTATCTCATATATTAGTTTCACCTTTTAAGTTATATTACTGAAATAAATGAACTTTTGCACAATATTCTAATTTTTTGAGTATCACCTGTATATAAGCATTTCTATAAGGAAGCACAACTCTGAATCCTACTTTATATCATGAAATAAATTACCATCATTAAAAGAGATGAATGTATGACTAGCCAGAAAACAGCGATCTTCTGCAAAATGAAAAGCTCCAGTCTATTCTAGGATCCTGACACTGTCCAGGTGAATATTCTACCTGCGCTATGCAGTTGTATATTATGTTCTAACTGTTTGAATCCTGCATCTGTGGTGAATAACCCTTTGATGTTGCATATACTTTTTAAAAACTATAACTTATAACCATAGGTTTTAGTACCTATAAACATCTTCCAGTAGAAGCCAGTGAAATAATCAAGTGATAAATTATCATAACAGAAGATAGACATTTTCAAAGTTGTCGCTGCTGAGGAAATAATACTTAGCAGCCATTAGCCAATCGCCAAATCATGAGAAAAGTACTGTTGCTAAGAATGCTGATTTTAATTGTGACTATTTCTTTGTACCTCTGCAAAGGATCTACCAGGACAGTATTATAACTTGGGCCCTAAAGACTTTTGCTTTTATGAGCCTCTCTTTCCTTAAAAATAAAAATATAAAAATTATCATTTAATTAAAAAATTGAAATTATATTTCAAATTATATTTTCATCATATTTTTACAGAAAAATAGAGAATAGTATATATGGGTGTTATTTTGTAATCATTATCAGTTGTTGCTAATTATGATGTCTCTCACATATCAACAAGGTTACTAAATTTTAATATCAACACTACAACTATAGGTTATAAATAAGAGTATTGGTTTGATGTTCCAATGTTGTGTGGTTCTTGCCTGTGTTTCAATAAAAGACATGAAAATGAATAACTTCTACTCATTTTTATTTCTGATTTTTTTAAAAATTAAGACATTTTCACCAGCACTCGGCATTGTGCTTGGTTACACCAGTCTTGATAAAGGCAGAAAAGTGCTTTAGAGGTATGTGTGATGCAAATGTAACACTTGTCTGCAACCCCTAAAAGCAGCCATGACTTTTTCTGGGACTGGGCAATTCTGCTCTATAGTTCTTGGTTTAAAATAATTCGAGACAGATGGTAGATTCACTCATATAAACTTTCAAACACCTTTTTGCATTTGAATCCGATGCACTGTACTGCCCTATCAGTTAAGTCCGGTATAAATAGTATTTATTTAAATGTATTTAGGTATATCTTGTATTAAATGACTGCAAAATGTCCTTCGTCTTTAAAGATGATGCAAGGTTACGACTGGAAGCCCACCTGCTAATTGAGTGAGCAGATTCAACAGCTTTACATGTATGACGCAGACTCTACAGTGGTTTTGAATCCAATTCAACATCATGACTGTTGCCTTCAAAATCTTGCAAAGTTTGGTACTCAGATACACCCAGCACTGTTTTCCCCATCCTTATTTGACATTCAGTCTCTGCGGGATGGCATGCATATGGTTTCACCCATTCTTTGCAGCACCCCAGCCTTCAGAAACACCTTGGAAACTGTATTTTCTGTACAGCATATCTGCCTGATAATGGAAGTATGCCTTAGGTTAAATTACATTGGATCAGTGACGTGCAGTGAGGGTTACCATTGGCGAGGGAAGAGCGCAGCAGCGG